GGTTGTTTTGAGAATGTTCTGTAGGCTACTAATAAAAAAGGACCTCTGTACATTTGTTTGTTGCAAATTTACAGACTACGCAATTGAAATGTTTACATTGGCTTGTCGGTGTAATATTTCTGTCCACTCACAACAAAGTTTTCCTTCTGAATTAGCATAACTGCACAAGTTTTATACTTAATAAAATCTTTAAAAACAAATGACATTAGTTATACTTTAATTTCCTTCAGTAAAAAGGAAATTGAGTAAGACGGTGTAAAAGGTGTGTGGACGTGGACGTGGATTAGTAATCTGGCCCCTTGGTATAAAGGAGAAAAATGCTGGCCCTCGTCACTATAAAAGTTGCCCATCCCTGATCTAAACTATTAGCAGTCAAAAAGAAAATGCATTGTGTACTTTTATAGCCCCTATGAACTCTTGGCAGTCAAACTTAGCAGGAGGAGTGATCAGGGCCACCAAAATACCCTCAAGATCTCCACGTGTATCACCTTCCAAGTCATCACAAAGAGTCTAAGATGAAAAACATACGCATGTTTTTATATATCAGGCAACATTCAACAGCTAGTTAAACATGTGTACAGGTAATATGGTGTTTTACCCTCCCAGTGGCGTCCTGATACGCTTTACAGATCAGCTGGCGCTGGGCATTGCTTCTTTGAGTCAGAATGTCAATAAGAGTCTTTTCAGTAGTGCCTGAGGAATTACAAACGCAAACAACACAGTTCCTCATTGTGACATAAGGCCAACAGCCAGCCAATAGAAAGCAACAGGATTTCAACATCTCAGCCGGATGTGTGCAGTGTAAGTTCACTAAAAGTCCACACCCATGTTACTTAGTGACTTACCAATGCCTTCAATAGCTTTCCTTAAAGCGGCAGCATCCTCGCCTGGATTAAAGCCCGGCTTCTCCTTAATGGTGCCATGTACTGTTGACTTAGTAAAACATGGATCATGTTGATATATAAACCTTTTTAACTTACTATATGAAATGTGTAACTCTATAAAATACAATCACAGTCTTACATTTACAGTCAAAGAGGAGGGGGAGTCCAGGAGAAGATCCAAATCATCCTGAAAACAGAAAATAGAAAGTACGAAGTCTTCTGAAAAATGATTATCTTCAGTAAATATCACTTTCAGAGCAAGAAATGTAAATGTAGAGTCACTTAATCCTGAAATGGTTAAAGTAAAAATGAAATAAACAGCCGCACTGACCCATACAGAAGACATTCCTGCTGTTGTGGGTGGGTTTCAGTTCTGTAACCACCAGATATTAGTTAGTTATATTAAACATCAATATAAATTATATGTTTTACGTTCTTTAGTTACATACTTTTAGTCACTAGCAAAAGTTTGGATGTTTTCAAAAGCATTAAGCAGCATTAATTCTCCTAGCGCAGGGCATTTTTAACGCATTAATGAAATATGTGTTCAAAATGGAGGATTAGATCCCGATTACATAGCCTATGTCACATTGCAAAGTTTATTCTCTATGCAATTTCATATGCGATTCATAAGGGCATGACAAAATCCGCTAACATCACTATGTGCTCGCTGAGAGCAACATAACGTGAAAATGGCGTCTTTTACAGATGAATACTTGGCAAAGCATCAAACTCGACAATGTTGGTAAGCGCGCGATTGGCTTTAATGCTGATTTCTATAGACAAAGGAACAAAACTTTCAACTTTACCTTTGCTAAAGCGTCCGTCCACTATAAGCCACACCTTTCACGGGTCTCTCTGCGAGTCGACTACACCCAAACACAGAGGATATGAGATCAAAATGAGATCATGAGCTCGTGTATCACGCCAGTTCACGCCACAACTCACAAAGCCTATGTGATAAATGTGGTGATAAACGAGTTCAAATGTGCAGTAGGTTCGAAATATTTAAGATGAATTCGTGGCTTCTATTTTGCATTTGCATATTTTCAAATACAAATATATTTTTTAGCTTATAAATGATATTTTCAACATCATTGAAATGTGTTGTTGTTGTTATTATTATAATACAAATAATAGAAAATAAAGTTTCATTTCCCTTCAGCAAATATTTATTTTCTTATATTCTATATAACTATTATATTTTTAAAAAACGTGTTTTCAGAAACAAAAGCTCATGTTCCCAGAACAAACACTTCTGTGGAGTTGAGATCATTAGACCTGGTCTTAATGGACTAGTTTGTGACATATGAAGGCCACATTTTACACACAAGTTTAATGAGTCGTGGGAGCTGTATATTGATGCCAAAATGAGCAAGAAAGCTCATATCCGGAAAGTGACCCTAACTAAGATCAAACAACACTTCATAATTTCCTGTGCAA